GAAGGCAAAGGTGGTCCCTGAGGGAAGGTGAAGGCACTCCCTGAGGGAAGGTGAAGGCACTCCCTGAGGGAAGGTGAAGGCAGGCCCTGAGGGCGATCTGAGGGGTCCCTCATGGAGATGCCGTCGCTGTCGTGTCCGGCGGGTTTCCCGTGGTCCAGTTCCATGTCTCTGGTGCTGTTTGGTTGCAGGCCGGCGGGCGGGATGGCCGGGAACAGCCTGGTGCTGCCCATCGTGCTGTGGGGCCGCCGCGCCCCCACGCACTGCGTGTCCTCCCTGCTGCTCATGGACGGCGCCACGGTCATCGTCACCGGCTGCCACGACGGCCAGATCTGCCTCTGGGACCTCAGCCCGGACCTGCAGGTAAGAATTCCCTCGGGAATCGCCGGTCTTTCCCCATATCCCACCTATCCCTGCCTTCCCAAGCCATTCCCCTTGTCCTGTCCCTGCATCCCTTGTCCCAAGTCCCTCTCCAGCTCTCCTGGAGGTCTCCCCTTATTTATAAATATCCAGAACTTGTCTTGTGCAGCAATAGTTTCCCCCTGTCAATTTTTTCATTCAAACTGAGCCAACTTTATAGATTTTATTGACATGAGTTTGCAAATTGCCTTTTTTTCCAGTGTTAAGTAGAAACTCTTTTTCAAGGTTATATATCCACAGCTACGCTAATCAAATATGTGTATATTAATAGATATATAATATATAAAATAGAAAGCTGGCATATGTGTCTTCTGTTTTTCAGAGTGGTATTTTGACTTCCCCTTTTCTTTCCCTGCTCCCAGATTAATCCCCGAGCTCTGCTGTTTGGTCACACGGCCTCAGTTACTTGTTTATCCAAGGCCTCAGCTTCCAGTGAAAAACAATATATAGTGAGTGCATCCGAGAGTGGGTGAGTTTCCCAGCAGTTTTGATCTCCACAACTGTCAAATCATGGAAAATCTGTCCCCAAATTATCCGTATTTCCACGCTGGGGCTGCGTTGGATTTTTTTTGATCCTTAAAAAAAATTTCATCAGCAAATACATTTTATTTTTTCAGTGGTTTTATTTGCTAATCAGAGGGTGGGGGGGGAAGGATTTCTTGTGCAGTTGATATACAAGGAATGATTCCAATGAAGTTCCTCCCAGTGTAGAGGGATTTTGAAATGTTTGGAAGCCTGGCCTGGTTTCCCTGGAGGTTTAGGGAGATTTTTTTTTGGTGTTTTTAGGGAGATGTGCCTGTGGGATGTGAACGATGGGAGATGCATCGAGTTCACCAAACTGGCCTGTGCGCACACGGGAATTCAGGTCGGTCCTGGAAGGATTCCAGAGCTCTGGGCATCCCAAACATTTTGGTTTGGATTAAAAATGAAGGAATTCCTGTCCCACCCGGGGTATAATTTCTGTGTCTTGGCAGTTCTATCAGTTCACAGTCGGCTCGCAGCGGGAAGGGAGGCTCCTATGCCACGGGCATTATCCCGAAATTCTGGTGGTGGATGCCACCAGCCTGGAAGTTCTTTATTCCCTGATATCCAAGATCTCTCCTGACTGGATCAGCTCCATGAGCATCATCCGATCCAACAGGACACAAGGTGATTATGTCTCACTCCTGGCCTTGGTGGCTTCCAGGGGTGTTTTTGGCCTGAAGTTTTAGTTTCTCCTGGGTGTATTTGTACACCCAGTGGAGAATTCCTTGGGATCTCATCCTGGTTTCTGTGTTTCCCAGAGGACACCGTGGTGGCCGTTTCTGTGACCGGCATCCTAAAAGTCTGGATCATCACCTCGGAAGTCAGTCGGCTCCAGGTAAACTGCTGGATTAGTGGGATTTCCTGGAGGGGTGTGGAATTGTATTCCTGTTGTTTCCGGTCCTTTCAGCCCCCTGAAGATATTCTTCTTCCTCTTTGCCAGCTGGAAAATCACCTTTGGGAATTTTGCTTTAGCCATCCCGAGTTCCCAGCAGGACTCCTCATCCTTCCCAGAATCCCAGGTTCTCAGCAGAACTCCTAATCCTTCCCAGAATCCCAAGTTCTCAGCAGAACTCCTAATCCTTCCCAGAGAACTGATTGCAAAATTTAGAGGAGGAGAATCTCTAGTTTTTCCAAATCTGCTTTTTATTTGTTCTGATTCGGGTTAATGTTTGCTGAGCAGAGGATCCAGTTTTTTAGGAATATTCATTTTTTGAGATTATCTCCAACTCCCTGTGTCCTAATGAATAAAAGTCTGAGATTTACTGCACGTTTCAGACCTCTGGTAAATTAACTCCTCCCAGAAACCCCTTGGAAAAGATGTTTAGCAACTTAGGGAAAAATAAACTTATTTTTTAAGTTTATTCCACGGGAGTGGAATCTGCTTTATCCCACTTTCCTACCTGGCTGCAAGGTGATTCCCTGACTAAATCAGCACCACTAATCCATCCTGCTGGGGAATTTGGGAGACTTAAGTGACCAAAGAGGAGACCACGTGCCTCCTGCAGATCTTCTTAGGAGGAATAATGGAATCAGAACCGCTCTGAGCGTTCGGGTTTCCCTCGGAAATCAGCCCTGGGGCGCCTCAGGGAATGCCAGAGTCTCTATTCCGTGGGGTCTGAGTTCGATTTGAGCAGGAAAAGAATGATTTTGGTGTTGGTTTTGGTTGTTTTTAGGATACCACGCCCGTGTTTGAGGAGGAATCCAAGCCCATCTACTGCCAGAACTGCCAGAGCATTTCCTTCTGCGCCTTCACCCAGCGCTCGCTGCTGGTCGTGTGCTCCAAGTACTGGAGGGTAAGGCAGCAACCACTGGGGCCTAATTTAATTAAATTTAATTAATTAATTTAGAAACATTCAGAGCAAGATGCTCCAAGTCTTTTCAGTGTGATTCTATTTATATATTTAATGCATATTTAGATATTTAATCTAAATCTCCACCCACGGGATTGGCGCTGGAGGATCTTTAAGATCCCTTCTGACCCGAACCATTCCATCATTCTGGGATATTAAACCCCAAATTTGTTCTCTGATAGATTCCTGACACCGCTTTTGTTGTTTCTTCCCAGGTTTTTGATGCTGGGGATTATTCCCTCTTGTGTTCAGTTCCCAGTGAAAACAGTCAGACCTGGACTGGTGGGGACTTTGTGGCAGCTGACAAAGTGATTGTGTGGACAGAGGATGGACAAAGTTTCATCTATAAATTACCAGCCAGGTAGGCAAAAATTAAATACTCCCTTTTATTGAATCTTGAGGGGAAAAACATTGAAATCTTGGCCCAGTGCAAAAAAACTGAAAATAGGCACGTAAATATGAAACTGTGCCAGAAATTTTAAATTGGGCATCAGAGAGGTTAATGACAAGAGGAAAATCCAAACCTTCTCTTGTGACATCTTCATGATGTGCAAACATCTTTGTTCTGGCTAAAGAGACAGTTTGATGTTGAACTCCTTCCTCACCCCCTCGTGATCAGAGCACGAGGACGGGAGCAACATCCACGTGCTGATGCAGCAATCCCTCTGTAAATCCCGGGAATTTGACTCCTTTCTCCTCCTCCTCACCCCCCAGCTGCCTCCCAGCCAGCGACTCGTTCCGCAGGGACGTGGGGAAAGCCGTGGAAAACCTGATCCCACCTTTGCTGTACAGCGTGTTGGACAGGGCAGAGAAACAGGTAAAACAGGAGTTTTTCCTCATGGACTGCAGGAATTTCTGGCCTGCTTTTAAAAGGCACGGTGCAAACTGTTGAGGTGAGCATGTGGCCTGAAGTTGTTGATTTATTTATTTATTTATTGATTGATTTATTTATTTAACAGCTCCTGATATGTCCTCCAGTCACTCGCTTCTTCTGTGGCCAGGGAGAGTTCTCCTACAAGCTGCTGATCCAAGGAGACTCCTCAGGGAGACTGTGCATCTGGAGCGTGCCCGACGCTCTGGAACAGCAAGAGAGTGCAAGAGGTACCCGATGAACAGCCTTTTAACAGTTTTAGGTGTGTTTTGGCTGGACAAAGCCCTGCTGGCTCTCTCAGATATCCAGGACGTTGGGCTTGAATTGTAAGAGTTGCAGTAACATCATTTGATAACGCACCATCAAAATCTTAATTAGGTTTATTTAAGAGTTACAGCGGCTTTATTTTTTCATCAATGGTCAAAATCTCAGTTAGCTTTATCCTTGTAGTCAGTAAATTTATTTCCAGTGTAGAATCATGGAATGCTTTGGGTCAGTAGGGAGCTCAAAGCTCCTCCAGCTCCACGGGCAGGGCCATCAAATCCTCCTCCCTCCTCACCCCTTCCTTCTTTTTTTTCCCCCTTCCTTTTTTCCCAGGCCTGCCAAGCACCA